CCCCCCCCCCCCCCCCCCCCCCCCCCCCCCCCCCCCAAATAAAAATCTGCAATCGAGGATAATCCTATCTGGCTCCCTGAAATTTGGAAGCGCCCTGATGAGACGGGGCAACGAATGGCTCGCGAGGAATCCCGACTGGGAAGCGGCGACCTGCGAGAGCGGGGACTTCCGAGCCTCCCGTCGGGTGCCAGCCAAGGAAATCACCTGTCGGCGGTCGGGAGAAGGGAGCACCGCCCACGTCAGGTAGGAAAAAATAAAATAAAATAAATAAAATATGAAATAAAAATAAAATAATAAAAAATAAATCATTAATAAATAATAAATAACTAGCAAAAAAATAAATAAAAATATAAAAAATATATATAAATAAAAAATAATTAAAAAATAATTAATGATAAAAAACTTGGGAGAATTCTTAATGGCAAGCTCGCAGAAGACCAGCGTTTGCAAATGTGGACATTAGCAGAGTCTCGCGAGAAAAGTTTGCGACAACGTCGTCGCAGCTGCGGAGATCTCGATCGCGGTCGCACGCGAAATTGATCGCGGTGAAGAGAGCTAATTGAAGTACTCTCGAAGTACTTTTGATCGAAAAGAATTTTTTTTAAATCGAAGAATCAAGTAACGCGTGTTCCTGTGGAAAATGTGAAATTTCTCGATTTCCGGACTTCTTTTCGAAATTGCGATGCCGAATTCCCTTCATTAAATTTATTGAGTTACGATTGTTACAAGTTAGACTTGCTTTCGAATTTAAGTTATTGAATGAGCTCTGAAAATTTTGATTATTTGATTTGTGAATCGGCCTGGTCGGAATTTTATCGGAAATGGATGATTAAATTATTAAATTATTAAATTATTAAATTATTAAATTATTAAATTATTAAATTATTAAATTATTAAATTATTAAATGGACTTACCGCCGCAGGTGCTTGAGGCTGTGGGTGAGGCAGCGGACCCGACCGGACCGAGTCCCCCAACAGCTGAGCCACCTCAACTTCGTCCCTGACGTCGTGGACCGCAAGAAGTTCGGCACTCCCAAGTTCCTCCCTCTCGGCGACATGGTCCAGAAGATGAACGAGATGCTGCGGACGAACCCCCTACCGGGCAGGATCATCACCATCGAAACCCAGGTCACCTTTTAAACTCAGGTCACCTTTTAAACCCAGGTCACCATCGAAACCCAGGTCACCTTTTGGGCCGAAAGCCTCTCGCACGTCAACCCTCAGGAGAATCATCGCTAAAAGAAAATCAGTTTCGCTTTACACTTTTACATTTGTTTTTTGTTATTTATTTTAATTTTATTACATTTAATTTTTAAATTTAGATTTAACTTTAAATTTTAATTATTATTTTTTTTTATACATTCAATGACGGGTAGGAAGAGCTCTGATAGGAGTAACCGCATTGTAACCGCATTGCCCAGCCTTAGAAGAATAAGCGGAGGGACATGCTCTCTTATCCGTGTGCAGGGACAGAGGTTTACCTTTTGCCTTCCACCTTCTCACTTTTTCATGTTAGATGCATATCTCTGGACAGTGGATGGCGGAGGAAGAGGAGTGGATGGCGGAGGAGGAGGAGTGGATGGCAGAGGAGGAGGAATGGATGGCCGAGGAGGAGGAATGGAACCCCCCCCCCCCCCCCCCCCCCCCCCCCCCCCCCCCGCTACTATACATGCTTCCGAGAACTTGGAAAATTTCTCGTTCGTTGCCTAATCTTGCCGCTGCTTCCTTGGGTTTCGTAATTCCTGGAAGATCGAGAAATTTTCAAACTTCATACCGATGTTATTACCAGTTATTGCAATCGATCAGGTTTTGAATTTGACGAGATGTTGCAGTCCGACTGCTCACACTAGCTGTTCATTTTCAAAAATTTGCTCTGAGAGCCCCCCCCCCCCCAAAAAAAAAAATTGTTTGGAAAATCCGCATCGAGACGTAGCAGCAGCTGAAATTGAATTTCCTTTTCGTTGAAACAGGAGACGATGGCGGGGGTGGATCCGGATCGAACTTACTGGACCGAGAGTGCAGAGGCGACGAAGCTCTTCGTGTTCGTCATTCGAATCTTCTTCCAGACTGGTTTTTCCGGGCGCGGAACGTGGGAACCGCAAGAAATCGGGCTCGCCGACTTCCGCCCCGTCTGTGAGAGACCCGGCGGCGCGTTCAGGTATCGAGCTTCGACACCGTGAAGGAGCCTCCTTTTTTCCTTCTCTCAGTGGGAATGTGTTCTGTCCGCTTCGACGCTCCAGCCATCCCCGGTATGAGAGCTTTAGTAGCCTGGCCGGGAGGATGTCGGCCTGGTGCCTGGGTCAGAGCGACATCCGGATCGCCAACGTTCAGAGCATCAAATACAAACTGAAGCACGGCGAAACGGACACCCGGCGGACGTGGTACACCGAGCACGGGTACGCCGCGACGTTTTACGTGCGGATCCTCCGCGTGGCTCACGTTCGAGCGTGGGAAGTCCACCTCCCTCCCGTCGCTGTCACCTGTCGCACCTTTAGTCCGGTTCAACTCGAACGAGGTAATACGCGGTCGATCGAGATGTCGTTACTTGAAACTTCTACAGAGTCGATTATCGGTTTCTATTGTCTACCCCGAGAAGAAAATACGTGAAACATGTCATCCGTTTCTTGCTTGCCGAGATTTTTTTTTTCAAAAAAATTCCCCCACGTTCGTTGCGAGAGATGTCGAAAATTTCCCTTTTGCACTTTTTAATTTTCATCGTGACAGTAAACGATGTCGAGCCGAATGGAAAGACGTCGATCTTGGGGGGAAAGAAACCTCAAGTACCGAGTCGACAATGGCGACTTCCCTTTGTGTTCTACCCTAGCTCCTTCGTGTCCTCTGCAGGGGGGCTGGGTCGGGGGTCGGTGGATGAGGATGAGGATGAGGATGTCTCTCGGACGAGGGACCGAGTTGCCGTGTGGATGTGGATGACGGGGGCCAACTTCATCAGCGCTCAGACTTCTGCCGTGCGGTTAGACGATGGTAGGTCTGTTTGGGGTTTCTTCATCTGTTTTTTTTTTTTTTTCCCTCCGTCTGAGCTAAAGTAGGAAGAAGGGTATTTCGTGCCGGAAGGACTGACTTCACCCTTTGGGACGGATGGACGCATATTTAAGAAATATATGTGGAAAGTATGCGCGCTTGGGCGATGAAACGTGGCAAAGTCTAGCACTGGAATTGGCCGCATGACTCTTTAAAAAGCGTTCAATCGTTCTGTGAAAGCACAGGCAAGTCGTGCTTCCTAGTAGGGTTTACCGCTCCAAAACCTCTCTTAAGTTTCCAAGAAGTAATGCGAAGAAATTGGTATCGACGCGACAAGAAATACCGCAGCGAGAAAAAAAAAATAAAAAATACCGCAGCGAGAAAAAAAAAAATACCGCAGCGAGAAAATAAAATACCGCAGCGAGAAGCGGCGGCTTTCGGACCTACTTCCCCCAGCGCCTTTCCGCCTCGTCTCTGACGGGATGCTTCCTCCCGCGAGGAGGTCGAGAGCGGGAGGGGCCGATTTCGTTCGACTCGTTTTCGCTCGCGATTTTCGCTTGCCGTCGGAAGGACGCTTTGGGATGGAGGGCGATCGGTTTCTTTCTTGGTGGCGTTGGGACTGCCATTAGAAAATCTGCAGTCGATTCCATCGTAATTTTGGGAGGTCTTCTCGTTTTGAGAGTCGTATTTGCTCTCACGTGGTCAAGAGGTTTGGACTTGTGTCGTCTCTGCAGATTGGAATGCAATAGAATTTCCGGATTGAATAAGAATTCCTTCTCTACGGACTCGCATGAAGCCTCGAAGTCAAATGAAGCCTCGAAGTCGAATTTTGAAATTGCAAATACGATCTTTAGCGCTTCTTCGATTCGGCCTGCATAGACCTATCATATGATCTGCAAGGATCATTCCGGATGTTCTGCATTCAAATGTGCGGCAGCCTTTATGATAGCTTGAAATCGTAAGTGAAGATTTCGCTGGAACGCCGAAACGCGAAAATCTCCAGGGTCACGCTGGCCTTTTTTTTTTTTCTCTACACATGCTCATCTAATACTAACTTTTTTTTAAAAGTACTTTTCACTCGTCCAACGAACTTGCAGGAGAATTGTCTAGAAAAAAAAAACCTGCACATCCAATATTGAAACTTGAAAAATCATGTTTTCTAATTTGGAGCATTTTTTTTTCAGCATTTAATCGCATTAACTCCTACTTGAAAATCCCAAGAAAAAATTTCTAAAATCGAATATCAAGAATTCAGACTCGAGGAGATTGGGAAATTAAACATGGAAGGTTGGGCATTCCAGGTGGAGAAAAAAACCAGGGTCCCGAAGCGACTTACACCTTCAACGACCCAGGGTACGTCCTCCACCACCCACACGATCGCCAGCACCTTGCCCTCAATGGGCGAAACGATTTCGAACGAGACCGAAAGTCCGACGAGCACTGGATTAACATCATCCGACTTTATCTCGACGGCGAATACAAGGAACCTCCGATGGAGCTTATGCCATCCGCTCCGCAGGTCCAACAACCCTCATGCTGTAATATAGTGTAATCCACTTCCTTGGTCGTGATCAAGCCTCCCATCCATAGATGGGAGGCTTGGTCGTGATCAAGCCTCCCATCTATGGAGGGGAGGCTTGATCCTCCTTGATCGTCGAGATCGATTTTCTTCCCGGATATAAACTTAAAGATGGGGACTCCGCATTTTCGAAGAGAAAATTTCACTTTTTTTGAGAATTTTGAGTCTCTGGAGCTAACGTTACTTCTTTCTGTTCATTTTGCGTTACCTACGAACCTCATAATGGATTCCATTTTAGAGTGGGAAACTTGAAATGATCAAAAATGATAAGACACCGGGAATATAATGCACTGAGGTCCTTATCAGGTACTCATTATGGTACTCGGCATAATAAAGCAAAGGAATCGGTTGCGACCAGGGGCAACCAGAGGCAACCAGGGGCAACCACGCGACTTCCCTCAAGAGACCACCTCGAAATTATTTTCCTCGAGGAAAACGAATGCTTTGGCTGGATCTCCAGTTGTGTCGTCATTTTTCAGTCGCGACTGATGAGCTGTATGGAAATCCTCAATAAATATGCCGATTCGTTCACTTCACCTCTTCGGTTGATAAGGGTTGCACTCTAACATTTAATTAACACTCAAACACGATAAAAACATTCAAAAGGTTTAGATTGTTTTTAAACTTTGCTTTGGGCTATCAGCGAACTTTCTGGGCCAAAAGCAAGGAAATTAGATTTTGTGGGCACGAGGCCATTTTTCCCCTCAGGAAAGATTTCAATGGCTTCTATTTTTACCCCCCACTTCGAATTGGAGGAAAATACGATATCACCGTCCTTGACTTATACATAATGTGCTTCTAATGAGACTAGAAGGGGGGGGGGCTTTGCTATTTGATATCGCCTTGATGCAATTCCGAACGAGATCTGGAATTACGTCATTGTCAATAGGACCCACAGAGACCAGATCTCTATCTCGATATGAGTTATTTCATCAGCTTATTCTGCGATTTATGTTAACTGGGTAAGGCGTAGCACTTTCCCCCGCTGCATGCCGACGCAGTGCAATGACAAAAAGAGAAAAACGTCAGAACAGTATTTACATAACAGTCAGAGGCAAAAATAAAATTTTTGTTTATTTGAAGATATCCGCACCAAAATCACCTCAAGTAGAAGAAGAACGAGGCATTTCTTATAAAAGTAACACTCAAGTTCTTGGGACCGTGCCTATGGCCTAGAATGGCATAACCTTGTAAGCCTAACGCTCCAACAATCGCGGTTCGGCAGTTCCTGTCCTCCAACGGTGTCTGGATTCTTTAGACGTTTAGAGGTTCTTCTCGAGGAACCTGAATCCATCCAGATGGGGATGCAAGGAGCTCACCCGTTTCTACGCTTTTGCCAGGGACGCGGCCACTTTTCGGACTGACTTCGTGGTGGCATTCACGTGAGAGTCAATAGATGACTCTAATCGATCTAGTATGCTCTCAAACTGGAGGTCTCTGCGATTAAGGAACATATTGCGACATTTACATACTTCCGATATGCTCACGAGGACTCGACTAATTTCAAGAAGGGCTGTCGATAAATCCGAGAGACGCTAATCTCCGATACTAGGAAACGCTAGCTGGAGTGTTTAACATCTAAAGTGGTAGGTGAAACATGGTCGTGCGTGATATCCCTGATTATATCCGACGTCGTTATGTAGACCCAATATTGAACGGGCCGTCGGAAGATCCGACGATATCACCACACATCCCTTCCAATTAAGGGCTTGTGGCGAGAGATTGCAAATGAGAGGGTGAGACATGCGCGATGATCCCTCGGCCACCACCCGCCATCCCGCCTCAGTTGCGTGCATGATGCGCTCTGGTGAAGGTCGGAGACCAATTGTGAGGGATACGTAGCAGCTGAGGGGACTGGGCTTTGGAGTCCGAAGGTGCGATACTCCACCGAGGACGAGTGATAGAAGAGGATTCGAAGTTCAGAGGCGGTGCCTTTCGCCTCTGCGGATCGGCGGTGTTGTGCATGCAGTGATCCAAGTGGCTGATGAGGGAAATCATAAGCTCGCGCCATTAAGGTACATGTATTTCATCGTTTCTCTGAACTTTACAATATAGAGGGGGGGTCCAAAAAGTGTTTCCACTAACTGGGAATAAGCAATGCAAGTTACGAATGCCAGATCGAACTTTGCATCAGATTGTTATATTAAGAATGAAATTACACGCATACATGAACATTTGAACGAGAACGTTACCATAAACATTACACTGTAATTGCACTAGAAATATTAATATAAACTATATAAGTATAATTTCCCATTCCAGTTGTAATTTTTTGGAGACACAGTTCATCCTACTTTGACATGTAGTATCATCAAACGAAAGAGGAATATAGACGCCACAAATGATATAATTTCTCCCGTAATAATAATAGACGACGAAGTGGAAAATTGATGGAAATTGACTGACTACTCGTATTTATTTTTCAAATCTATCCAAGACGCTCGCTCCCACAAGACTTAAATATTTACCATTCACACCTCGTTCCCGTGAGTTTCACGACTCCAACCCAACGTGAAGAAGGTAGAACTGACGCTGAATGTTCTCCGGAGACCAAATATGATACAATCTCTTTTTTATATGCGATTTTTCCACCGTGTTATTTGGAGCAAAACTCACAATAGTTTTACTCTCACTCTTGGCAAAATCGCTAAATTTCTTCAATAAAGTACAGACAGGTTATTCCCTCTGGGCTTATTAAACCCCCACCCATACTATATTATCATATGGAATGGCAACAGATCACTTCGACGAAATCCACCCCCGAAAGAGATAACATCGCACAGCGCTGTTGAACAAATTCAAAGAAACCGGAAGTGTCATGGACAAACCACGTTCTGGTCGACCTCAAGTAACTGAAGAAGTGCGTGTAAAAGTGATGGCGAAAGGGTTAGCTGGTCTAAAAAAAAAATCAACAGGAACATCTTTGGAAATTGGAGCACCGCGATAAACCGTTCAGAAAATCCTAAAGTATGAAGATTTTCACCCTAACAAGTTACAAATCTCTTTTTCTGGGGTTACGTCAAATCTCTAGTATATGAAGTGAAAATCAGAAATACTGAGCATCTGATTCAACGCATAACTGAAATGTGCTGTTGTAAATGTCAATGCTGCTGTGGAAATGCCAATTTACTTAATCTGGTTCATCAATACCTCAAACGTCGCCTCCAAATCTGCATTGAATAAACGAGTGAACATGTTGACCATTCACTTTTGTTTATGCATTTTCTTACTATGATCCTTTGTTACCAGACTCTAGACCATTTCATGATTAGTGTAGCTGGAAAGCTTACAACTTTATACCTTTTCAGGTCGTTGACTGAGCAAGTCTCCAAATATGTTGGTTTAGCCTAGGAGCCTTATGCTTCGGCCTTTCTAAGACAAAGGCTAAACGCATTTCTCGGTTCGTTCGCATTGCGGGGTGGCCAGCAAGTCAATGCCATTGGAGATGGAGGGGCTCGGGGCGTTCCGGGAGTATGTTCGTGTAACTTCGGCCAACATGCCATTGCCTTTTCAGATCATA